GTATACATTATCATTGAATAAAACAAAAGGATTCCCAATGTATTCTCTTACCTATAGAAACAATTATTTATTCAAATTACGCCTGTATGTCTTTGGAATAAATATTTATCCTTGGAATCAAACGAATCTCACAAAAACTCCATCATTAATCAAAACTACTAAGAGCAAAGACTCTAACCTCTTCAACTTCACGGTTTGTTCTAATTAGATAAACCATGATCCTTGATCAAAGTACACAGCAAATGTCAACACGTTTCCAATAAATGGTAAATGCTTGAATGACTACAAATTCAATTTTGTACCAATCATACATAGAACTAGTCCATTAATTCTCATTTTACGAAGATCTAAAAGCCAATCTAAACGAAAAGAACAAGATACCATCCCTCTCCCTCCCGATAACACGATAAAACGAAAGAAATACGGCTAGAAAAAATTAAAATTTTTACACGGTGAAAAAACGCATCCAAGCTCGTGGAACTGTCAACTCGAAGCGTTCCAGATACGAAAGTCCGATTTTCCCTAAAAGCGACATAAGGTCAGCACTCGATATCGCTCGATATTACTTCCCTGAACCATATTGCGCCAGTATCGCAGATAAGTTTTACGCCTCGATCCCACAGATTCGATTATGCGTCCCGCTTTTTCGAGCATTCCTATCGCCAGAGGCGAATCCACCACGATAACAAAACATTTATTCGAATAACCAATGACTACTGCAGACACCGTACAGAGATTCGTTTGTCACGTTTATTCGATTTAACAGTTATTTAGATGAACTATACAATTCGTTTAACATGAAAAGTTTAAGTAAAGATATTAACACGTCATTTTGTTACGTTTAATCTGATCTACATTAAAATGAATCTATATAAAAAACCATAAGTCCCAACCTGACGGGCAGACTTTGCTTTCGTTTTTAAACCGAATCTGTTCACTTGGAGTGCGTAACTGAAAGAATAATACAAGTTGTATGATGTATTTTTTTTTTTTTAGATAAATGGTAAATTTACCTCAGTAAGCCACGGAGTTCATTTCTACATCCACTGCATATATCGTGTTACCAAACATATTTCGCACACCTATTTCTTCTGCGCATAAATGCACGAAATTTATACTCCTACAACGAAATGTGCTTAAAGGAGAAGATTTAAAAAAAAGAAAAAGGCTTTCAAAAATTGCACGATTAGCCCCAAACCTCGATAAATCTATATCCACCACTATCCCCAATCTTGTCAGACCACGAATTCGTTTTTTCACGGTTCCCTTTTCCCCGTCTACGTGAAAACGGAACTAGGAACTAGTTCTCTGCGAACGAGCGCTTAATGGAACGACCTCGATGTTCCCCCTGGCCCCCTTTAACTGTGAAAAATCGCGATGACATCACGGTTCACAGCTTCATCGAGATGAAGCAACGAAAATCGTTGCTTTTCTGCTCCCGTTCTTTTATTTATTTTCTTTTTTGCACCGAGCATGTGCGTGCGTTTTTTTTCTCCTTTTCAGTTCTTTACAAATCGTTCGTGGACTATGATCGAGGGTATACGAAAAACGAGAACAGTTCCACGTTATATCTGCCCGGCTCTAATGATCCGAACACGCGCAAGCGTTCGGTTTGAAAGTAGAGAGAGGACATAAGCACCATATGAATATTTCAGAGACCAGCCCGCAGTCTATGGCGCCTTTGTTCGAAGGCTTGATTCCTTTCTTTGCGGAGAGGATCATTGGGTCATTGGTGAAAAATTGAGCACGATTAAAATTAAAGAATCGCTAAACCAGGCATTAATGTGTATTTTTACTGAGTCGTTACCGTAGGAATTTTATTTAAGATCGATCATTTGTACTATCGGTATTTAGTAATTAATAATTCGTCGATATAATTATTTAGTATCATTTAATGGAAACCTCTGCATATGAATGCGGTGGCAGGGGCTAGAAGTATACCTTTAGACTGTACGTGAATGGGAGACGGAATAAGGCTATGCATAGACATGCGAATATCCTTCGTAGGACTTCATAGGACTTCATAGGATCTCCGAGAGGTTAAATAATAAAATCACTCAACCATTTCTGATATCATAATGTAAATGTAAAAAATGTATGTACATACAGTGGGTGTAGAATGTATTCGTACACCGATCAATTTCCCAAAAAACTTTTCTGTGAAATGGTAGTTTCTTAACTTCGTTTTTTATAATCAATGATAGTTTACATATTTCCGGAAATCTTTAAGATAGATATAGTCCGAACAACATTTACTAGTTAATATAATTTGTGAAATTAATAAAAAAAATGCGAAAAGTCGATTAAAACGAATAAAGGGCTAAAGATGGATAGGGTAGCCTCGTAAGTCAAGTTCAGGAACCGATCGGAAATTCACGATTTCGCAGACAAATTCATCAGTCCCGTTAGCTGGCCAGAATTTTATTTCTTATTGGACCGCTGAGGACCACCTTAATTAAGGACAGACGATTACAGACTCTTGTCGAGACCTTATCACTTGTTCCTTCAAAGAAATTTGCGTAGTTGCAAGTAAGAGTTCGCTTTTTTTTTGACGGTCAACATATCTCAGAATTATTCTAACAACTTCGAAAATACTTGTTTATGTATTTGTGTAAAATCTATATTTTTGTTTTTATATTATAATATGAAAATAATCGATAAAAAAGGTGTAGATATATGGAAAATGTGCTTCAATAATATAATATAGCAACGTCGCCATACTATTGGAAAATTAAATGGATTAATTATCTAGTTTAGGTTTCTATTTATCCCAATTGAAAGAATACTTGAATGCGTTAAACGTGAAGTGAAAAATCATCGTTATAATATTGATAAATTTCATAGGACAATCGTTCAGTTTAGATTTTTATTTATCCCAATCAAAATAATTTCTAAAGGTTTCGAACATACAATGAAAGCTCTAATCTACTTAAGAATTATTCAACTCGATCGTTGGTATACCAGGTTAATATTCAAATATCGTTAAAAGCATGTTTAAATTTTAAAGAATTTAATTATCGAAGAACTGCGTTTAAATATCGAATAATCAATTTTAAACATTCAAATTGAATTTAGATTCCCATTCCCATACTGGATTATTTTAAATAATTTAACACGATAATTAGTAAAATTGTGTTCAAATATTCATCAATTAATTTCTCAATAACACGACAAAATCTCCACAAAATTAAACGGTATAAATTTATACAAATCCAGAACAAAATAATTCCCGCAAGCTTAACTTTATTTACGAAATTATTCCACTCAGAGATTGCTGTAATACCTCGAGTAACAAAACACCTGTTTACGTTTACCTTACAACCTATTTCGACTAACAGAATTCGAAACTAAAAGCAACAAATGTGCACACATATCCAGAATTAAATTTCCTCGATCGATAAATCGATTTGAAAACCAGCCAGTAGGTTGTAACCGCCACTGACGCTTCGGAAGCTTTAATAAAATTTACATATCCTGTTCATTTGGTTCACCGTGCGGTTGAATTGCTCCAAGATTCTCTACGCGCAATACCCAACGCCCATCGTCGTTACCTTTGGGTATCACGGTGAAATTGTCGACAACCTTTCACTCGAGCTGGCTCGAACAAAGCAAACTTATTCTCGTGCTAAAGTCACGCCTAACAGAGGGACGCCCGACGAGCTTCTCGTACCTAATTGAATTTCACGCGGAATTAAGTTTAATTGATCACGCCGCCTATAATAATAGCCAGCTTGCAATGTTAAATATTTATAAACCGCTTGACGTAACGGGACAAGGGGGATGACAAGGTTAAAGAAGGTCTCAGGCGAGTATTCTTTAATTAGAGGGGAGTTTTGTTCTCGCAACGGAGCTCTGGTAGAACTTCGCCGCGTTCTTTGGGATGTTTATCAAGGACCTGCGCTCGGAACTCGAAGGACCCACTTGTAAGATAGCTTGCTTCGACCACCTGCCTTTTGGGGCTCAAAGAAAAAGACTGCCACGATTCTGGTTCCCTTCGAACTTCTCGCACCACTCACGGTGAACCCTTATTGCTCTTTTCATCTTTCTTTGATTATCAGGGACATTTAACTCTGGAGGAATGTCGTTTATTAAAACGATTGAAATGCGAATGTGCTTCTGAAATTATGGTTTCTGATGTTATAGTTCATGATTACGTTACCACGTTTCGTTTTGGGAGACTTACATAGTCGGTCACGCAAATATTCGGACACCATTATAGTTCTGATTATTATAGTGCGTACTTCAGAAATGTATGCATTAGGAAGAAAAAGAGGTTTCGTATATGTTACTATGCAGTGTGCAATTAACCAAAACATAAAAGATATTTAATTACAATAAGTGATGAAATAAGTAATGAAAGAAAAGTAAAAGTACGCTCATTTTCATGTCACGAAAATATTCGGACACTATCAAAACTAAGTTTATAACGTTATACATAAATCTTGGTTTTGTAAATTAATATTTAGTTGGATATCCCATATGCGAGCGTACTTTCCATTTTTCTTTATATATATATCCATTTTTCTTATATATATATACAATTTATATATACAATATATACATATATTATACAATTTATATATACAATATATACATATATTATACAATGTATATATACAATAATTATTGTATTATGCAATGTATATATACAGTATACAATATATGTATATCATGCAGGAGTATTTTTGTAGTTAGAGGGAGAAAAAACAAATTAATTTATCAATGATTGTTAATAATTGACCGATTGTAAGAAGAAATTTGATGTAAATCAGTCCTTCCGGTACGCTTACAAATAATTTTCTTATTCATTTTATACATATAATAATATATAAATAAATACATCAGACCAAAATAATACATCAAATCTCACAATCCTCAAATATTTTGTTTGATGCCTTTACCGTAATTTCAACATTAATGTTAAAAATCATCCCGACCTACCCGAATTCAACGAAAACCATTCGATCAAATAGTCAATAGACCTCCACGTGGACACATACCTGAATGTATCCCAGCGTCCCCATCAGCGTCCTCGAAGACGGAGGATCCCGTGCCCTCGTCGTTGTCCGCAACGGAATCGTAGGGTGTATCGTCGTCTTTCGATTTCTCGCTTCCAGAACGATGATGGTCGTTCTTGGAAGGCGTCGCGATGGCACAGGGGCTGTCTACGGACGCGTGCCTGTTCGTCACCTTCACCAACGTGCTGGTGCTCCTAACTAACTTGGTGCTGTGGGTCCTGCGTATCAACAAGTTGGTGAACGTGGTGTTCCCGTTCTGTTTGCTTCTAGTCTCCGTGGAGCTGTTCCTGCCAGCTCCGTTCGACTTCGATTCAACGATTTTCGCGGAGGTCCGCTGTTTCTCGGCATCCTTCTTCTTCGTGTCCTCATCCTCGACTTCGAAGCACGCGATGGTGTTATTCAAACGATTATCTTTTCTAGCGGGGTCCTTCCTGCCGGTGAACCGGCTCTGGAATCTCTCTATGGTCTTGAACGACCTGGTCCTCTCGACCTTTTTCCTGTGCTCGGACCCGCTACCAGTTTGTTCGGTTTTTGGGGTCTCGAAGATCTTCGTCAGGGACTGCACCTTGCCCCTGGACTCTGGGAACGTATCGTCCCTCTTAGCCCCGCAGATAGACTCGTTGTTACTCAACGTCCGCGTCAGAATGACGTTGGGCGTCGTCTTCGAGGTACTGATAGGAAAAGTGTTGCTAACGAATTTCTCGGACTCCGAAGAAATCGTTTTCGGGATTTTCGAGGGCTGTCGAGCCTCTCCGTCTAACGACACGTAGAACGTCGACCTCCTTTTGGGAGACTCCTCCAGATTCTCTACGTGCATCATGTCTGTGACGAGAGATCCCTTACATGTGTACGGATCGTTTATTTTCCTCTTTTTATTTGCCGAGGGGAGGGTCTGCTCATCTCACCTGCTTTAAAATGATCCCCGTTGAGTTGGAACGTGTATTATCCGTTGATCGGAGATGGGCAAAGTTTTATCCGAGAAATATACCGAGTCTGTACTGTTTGTTAACTCTCTATTGCACGCAAGTAGATTTTTGTGTAATGAATTTCTTTAGGGTGATTTTAGACGTTTTTAGGTGGTTGTAGCATTACGGCTACTTAATATTTAGAAGTATTGATTAATGTAGGAAACATAATAGAAATATAGAATAAGGCGGCGTCTAGGTTTAGATTTTTGTACACCAAAATCAGGGTTAGAATAATAATCAATTACAATTTTTTAATTGAATAATTGATTTAAGCAAATTTAATTCAAGCAATTTAATTAATAAATATTTTGAATAAATATAATTATGTATATGTATAATAATGTCGTTTAATTGACGATCGATATGAGCAAATTTAATCGAAGATATTTAATTGACGATTACTTTAAGCAGAATTAATTCAAGCTATTTAAATTGACGATTTGTTTATATCTTTAATGTTAAAAGACATTTATATAAAATTCAATTAATTATATAAGTAACACATATAATAAACATATATATATATATATATATATATATATATATATATATATATATATA